AAAATAAAAAAGGAAGCAATTTCTTAGGATGTGTTTTTCTGTGGCAAAGCTGCTGCACAGGGCCATGAAGTGACCCACTTGCTGTCCCTGAAGGAGACGGTAGAAGGGGTGGGGTACTTGGGCTTCCAGCTCTGCCACAAGCTGTGGGTTCTCCGGGATTCTCTGGCAGAGCTGCCTCCTGCTCTTCCCAGGCAGGCACCGGCAGGGGAGGAGCAGGGGAAGCCCTTCCTCGCTCACCCCACCACGAGCTCCCATTGTCCCTCTAACAATGCGGGGGAGGAGGGAGCTCTGGGGCCGGTGACACAAACCCCAGCTCAGGGAGCAGCTGCCTGGCCGCTCAAGGGACGCTCTGTGTGTGCCCAGGGTGCCAGCCTGGCAGCCCCAGCGCAGGACCCAGCTCTGTCTGGTGCCAGAAAGGGGCAGAACTGCCTTTCTCTGTCGCAGAATCACAGGATTTCCTCGTGAAAATGGTGCAGACCGTGTTTAACCTGCTTCTCTCTACAGTGAGGGGCTTCCTGGCTGCCTTGGAGCACAGGGAGAGCCTGCAGGCAGCTGCTCCCAGTGGCTCTTGTCTGGAACTATCCGTAGGAGCCTGTGTGGTGAGAGTTAACCACCCTGGCCTACCGGTTCCTTCATAAATAAGGAATGCTAATAAACACTTTCCATTCCTTAAGGCCCAGCAGGTAGGAAGAGAAAATTCGGGGAAGCTATTTCTGGTTTTCTGTAACTTGCATTAGTCATCTCTCCTGAGACACAGAGGAGAGAGCTTGCCTGGGGAAGGGGAGCAGAAGCAGGGCCGTGCTCCACACCCCTTTCTATTCTCAGCACCTTCCTGGGAGGGCTCCAGCAGCTTCTCCTTCCCCACACAGGTGAATTTCCCTAAAACAAAGGGGTTTAAAGTTGCTCTGGGAGTCAACTGCCCAAGCTGGTATCAGCCCCTGCAGGTGCTCCCTGTTTTAAAAGGCATGGTGGTGCGTCACAAGTAGAGAGTTTTACTGTCTGAAGTGGCATCTTCCCCCAGTTCCAGCTCTCTGCCCATGTGAACTCCCATCTGGAGAGCCCGTGGGATGTGGCACCCTTGCAGAGAGCTGGAACACAGGCCCTCTGGCCACTGGTAGGAGATGGATCTGCAAACTCCGAGTTAGGAGGTGCTCCCTGCCGAACCTGCCTGGCTCAGCTGGCAGAGGTGCTTCTCCTTCCCCTGGGATGTCTCGCTCTGAGCTTGGCAGAGATCAGGTTTTGGGAGATCAGCTCTCCCAAAAAAACCCAGCCCCTGCCAAGCAGGATGTGATGGGAGGCAGTGAGGAGGAGGCTGGAGCAGGCAGCCAAGCACCCTTCCCACTTAGTCTGGGGAGAAGATGGAGCAGACTGAGGGCTCTGCACTTCAGTCAGCCCCCACTTCCAGCCTGAGCTGGCTCCCAGTGTCCTGGCTGGATCCCACAAGGACTCCCAGGTGTCTTGCAGGAAGATTTTAGTGGCCTTGTGCTAGAGGTCACTCACTCCTCCGGATGGATACTGGTCTGCTCTGCTTGGGCAGGAGAGCCTGGTGGGTCCCAGCAGGATGGAAACGCAGCAGTGCCTGGTGAAGCAGGGATTTATTGTGTGGGACCACAACCTGTAGTGAACACCCACTGCTGGCAGCCTCCAAGAAAAGCCTCCCTGGAGGGTGAGGCCCCTACAAGAGGCAGGAGGTCACAACATCCCTGCCCTGCCTGGGGGTGAGCACAGAGCCAGGACTTGCTGCTGTGGAGCAGCCACGGGACAGAGAGTGCAGGCAAACAGGGAGGGAGGGATGTTCCTGCTGGCAGGGCTGGAACTGCTCCCTCACAGGCACTTCTTAGCCCTTTGATCACTGCTAGGCTGGGGTCTTCAGCCTCTGGGGCTTCTCTGTGCACAGGACACAGCCCCAAGGCAGGCAGAGGCTGCCGAGGAGGAGCCCTGCGTGCTGTGTCAGGGCTGGGGCTCTGTGCCAGCCTGCTGCCTCCTTTGCCAGGCTGCTGGAAGCCCAGCAGACCCCAGGCCAGTGCTGCAGCAGGAGCCCTGCCTGCCCCTGTTTTCCATGGCTCCGTGCTGCCTGCAGGAAGCAGGGGGAGCACAGTCTCCTCCACCCCTGCTCTGTGCAGCGGTGCCACAAAGCCCAGGGGCTTCTTATCTGGGCCACGCCACACATATAGCATCCGTGGGGCCTCCTGGGCTCCCAGGGGCCAGCCTGTCCCTCCTGTCAAGGGCAAAGCTCCTCTGCAGCCTCCCTTGCTCGTCCCTCAAATGATGGGGTGGGAAGGGCCTGGGTTTGGCTTAGTGCAGTGAATCCTTTGCCTCCCTCCTGTCAGCACCAGAGCAGGGGGTGCAGGGGCAGCTGAGCTGGGAGGTGAGAACCAACCCCTCCTGGGGCTGTGATCTCTGCCAGCTCAATAGCACTGATTCCCCCTCTCTTACTCCCCCACCCTGTAACTCCCAGCCCTTGGGGAGGGTGTCAGGGGTCTCTCCCCAGCAGTGCTGCCCCCAGCTCCTGATGTGTGGGTCCTGACATGTCCCCTCCCCAGGAATGAGCAGTGATTGCTGCTGCCACGCTGTGAGCAGGACCCCGAGTGTGCTGCCGTGCAGTGATTCACGGGCAGGAGGGAGAGACCCTCTAATTCCCATGCTTGAGGTGGGCTGAGGGGCAGGGGAGAGATGTTCCCTTGGGAAAGGATGTGCATCCACCTTTCTCCTAGAAGAAGGGTGTCCCCTGCAGCAGGATGTCCTTGGGCAAGGCCAGGTTTTAATTGCTGCAGCATCACCAGACACTCGAGTCATGGTCCCTCTCGGTGCCTCTAATCCCAGCCTGCCTCCTGCAGCTACTGGGGACAGTCCCTGAGCCACCAGCAGCAGTGAATCTACCCCAAGAACTCCCCACATGCCCTGGCTTTCTCTGCAGAGAGGAGAGTTTGGCTGATCTGAGCTCCTAAGGGAGCTGTCTGTGCCTGCTGGTCTGTCTGTCCTGCCGCATCCCCTGTTGCTGGTGTCTGCACTGCTGTGCTGCACCCTGTCTCTTTGGCTGCCTCCTTGCTCCTCTTCATTCCTGGCTCTGTGTCTCTCTGATTGCCACCTGACACTGCAAAAGCTGCCTGCCCCACCTCTCCGTTTGCCTGTCGTTATTAGGATTTTTCCTCCCCACCCTTTTCTTTGGCCGCCATTCGGAGTCCTCTGCGTTAGGTGTGACTGAGGCACTGCTTTTCCCTGGTTTACAGAGAGCAGCCAGGCTGCAATCTGCAGCAAAAGGACTGTCCAGAGGGAGAACCCTCCTGCAAATGCCTGAGCAGGACACTGGCTGCCAGCACTGCCCAGAAACTGCACACTCATGCCTGCCTGCACAGCCAGGGACTGAGAGGCTGCTGAAACCTCTTGAGGTGGAACTTGGGCAAAAAAAACCCAAAACAAAACAAAACACCAGAAAGCCAGTCCTTGCAGCTTGAATTCTCTGGTTGCCTGTGGTATAGCTGGGGGTGAGGGTGGGGTTGTGGGGAAGATGTGTGTTTTAGAGAGGTGAGGCTGGATGTAGAAAGGAGACCTCTGTGTGTGTGTGTGTGTGTGTGGCCCCACATCACAGCTGTGTTTGGATGCAGACCTTGTGCTTGCAGTTTTTCCACTCTGACAGCATTGCAGCGTGCCTCTTGTGCCTGTCTCCTTGCCTTGCATCCATCTGCTCCCAGGCTTGTTATCTCTCTGTGTCGGTTTGCCAGCCCTTTAATCGCATCCATAGCCAGCCCCACCAGTCTGGGCCATCCTGGGCCACCAGTGTGGCATGTCCCTGTGCTGCCACAGTGATCCACAGCACCTTTGACACCCAGCTGCCACAACAGACAGGGTCAGGCCTTTTCCCTGCTCGTGGCAGCACACTGGAACCCTGCTGCACGCTCCCAGGGCATCACAGGCCTCCCTGGCCAGCTCAGGGGTCCATCCCCACCTGGGCCAACCCAGGTGCAGCCAGAGCCAAGCTTTTGTAGAATTAGCAAACTCTCCTGCAGAGCCAGCTTGCAAAACCTCAGCACTCCAGTGTCACCTGGGATCAGGTTCTGCTGGAGCAGAATATGGCTTTTCATATCCACTTTCACAGCGTCAGCCCTTTATGCCGAGCCCAGCTGGGGGTGTGGGACGAGGTGAGGACAGGGCAGCCCATCCTGAGTCCCTCTGTCTTCCTGGGATGCCTTGGGGCCCAAACTCCCAGGGAGAGCAGCTCCCTCTCTTGTCATCTCCACCCTTCCCCGAGAGCAGGGAAGAGGTCTCTTCCCAGGCTTGTTTCTGGATCCAAAGGCATTTTGCCTGTGCAGAAGCAGCTCTGCTTATCCCCCTCCCAACCATGTGCTGACAGGAGCCTGTGGGGAGCAAACTCTTGCTGTGCCTTCACTGCCACCAGCCCTGGACCCAAAACTGATTGTTTGTGGCCAGTGGCGTCACAGACAGAGCTTGTAGATGTGACAACTGGGGACAAGGCTTAGTGGTGGGCTTGGCAGTGCTGTGTTAACAGTTGGATTCGATGCCCTTAAAGGTCTTTCCCAGCCTAACTGACTGTGATTCAGCTGTGTTCCCTGCTGTTCCCACCACCATTTTGGAGGAGAGCTGTGTCACTCAGGTCTTAGGTGACTTGGTGCGGACTGGCCTCGCAGGGAACCTGAGCTCAACTCACTGGGTGAGGGGGGGTGGCATTGCCCCCCTCCTCAGAGAAGCCCACGCCAAGCTCTTCTTCCCCTTTCCCAGCCTTTCTCAGCAAAAAACACCTCCCACGCTGCCGGGAAGGATGAGGGCTGACAGCCCTTTCCCAAAACGATGTTCCCATGGCAATGGGGATGAGTCGCCCTTTCTGGGGAAGATAAGGAGGGGGCTTGGGGGGAGGGGAGGGGGCGAACGGGACCCTCCGCATCACTGCGCGCCCCTGGGGCGGGGCGGGGCAGGGGGTGTCTGAGTCCCGCAGAGGCAGGGCCCCCCCCCCCCCCTCCCCTCCCCGCACCGCCCCCCGCCGCAGGGCCGGGGGCCGAGCCTCAGTGACGCCTCCCGGTCCCCATTCGCTGGGTCCGCCCGCCCAGCCCTGCCCAGACTGCGGGAGCGGCGCGCCCACAGCCCCGCCGGGCAGCCCCGGACAGCGCCGGCAGCCCCGCAGGCAGCGGGCAGCACCGGACAGCGCCCGCAGGTAGGCACCGCACCGCCCCGCACCACTCCGCACCTCACCGCGCCGGCACCCGCTGCTGGGATGCGCTGCTGGGATTCTCTGCCGGGATGCTCTGCCGGGATGCTCTGCCGGCATCAGCCCCTGCGAGCGGGACGCACCGCGGGGAGGGTCGCGCTGGGCACCGCGGGGCACCTCGCCCCGGGGAGACGCTCGGGGGGTGGAAGGGGGGACCCTCTCGGGTTTTTGCAGCGGTGCCGGTGCCCTTTTCCCCCCCGCCCCAACAGCCCGGCTCGGGACTGCGGCATTCCCGGTGGGCGCGCTCCCGCGCACGCCACCGCAACCGCAGCCGCGCTCCCGCTCCGCGCTGCTGCAGCGGGGGGGAAGGGAGGGGGGGATAAACTCGACCCCCATAGTACCCCCGAGCCCTTCTGCCCCTCGCAGGGGTCGCCTGGCTCGCTCTGCCCCGCGGCATCGTCGTGCACCACCACCACACCCCCCTTCCCGGCGCGGTTCCTGCGGGTCGTGGTTTCTCTCAGCCCATCAGTCTGGCTCTGCAGCCCCCTCCCCATCGCCATTCCCATGCCCATCCCCTCCCCATTCCCGTCCCCGAGGCTCGTTTTTCACCCTTAGCCTGCCACTGCGGTGGGGTGCAGGGGGAGGGGGGTGGGCACCACCGTGGTGGTGTGACCCCTGAGCAGTTGGAGGTTGTGCTGGGAAGCTTTGCCCCCTAAAAGAGCTGGAGCCCCTGCAATGCTGCCGTGCTCCCCAGCCCTGTCCCCACACCAAACCCTCTGGATCATGCTGGAGTGAGAGTTACTTGGATAGCTCTGCTCTCAGGAGGACAGGAAGGGTCCAAGGACTCATGAACCCAGAGCCTGGAAGCTGTGAGTGCTTTGGGGCATAGGTGGGAGGAAGGCCCCCCTCTCTGGGAGCTTATTTGCACTAATTTTCTGGAGGAAATGTTAAAAAAGGACGTTAAAAGAGGAAGGGGAAATGACAAAGCAAGGGACAGGGGAAGTTTCTAGTTACCCAGAGGAGACTCAAGTTGTCCCCTCCATCATGCCTTCGCCCCCATTTTCGACCTCTTGTTTGTCAAGATCAAACAGAAGGGAATTTTGCTTCCTGGCCAAGGTTTTTGGGGTTGTGGATAAAGAGATTTTTCAGAGCTTCAGAGTGAGCAAACGGGTTTGGTATTTCCTCCTTGAATATTATATGGAAGACCCAAAAATTGCTAAATAAAAAAAGATCCAGCTGGCTGCGGTGCAGGAGATTCCTGGCTCTCCCCTGGATGCTCAGCCAAGCTCAGAGGGAGCAAAGTGAGGGTCTGCTGCCCCCTCTGCCAGCCTGGGGTACCAGGGGGGGTGGCGATTCACCTCCCCCTCTTGGAGCTGGCCCCACATGCCCAGCCCGTGAGGAGTGACTGCAGGGTGCTCGTTGTGTCCTTCAGCCTCCCCCGCCCTCTCCCCTCCCTCCAGTCCGCATTTCTGCGGCTGGAGTCCCCACGCGGCTGCTTGGCCGGGCTGCAAACCTCTAATTGCTTCCTCGTGGCTGGACTGGGCTGATTGGAATCAGCACATCCACGAGCCCCTTACCCTCACACACACACACATCCTGGAGAGAGACGGGCACAGGGCAGGGACCCAGGGGGTGATGCTGCCACACAAAACCCTCCCTGCCCGTGGCTGGGCAGGCTCAGCGCAGCTCCTGGGGACTCGCTACCATCCTTCAGTGGTCTTGGCGCCCCGTCCAGCTGCTGTGTCCCTCCTTCTTGCTGCTCTTGGCCCCTTTCCCTCCACTGCATCGCAGTGACTCATCCTTGCTGAGCTCACCCGCTGGAGCTGCGGGGGGGATGTGGGGGGCTGGCAGAGCGGGCACCCGCCAGTGCCAGGAGAGGGTCCTTCACCTGGAACCCCCCTCCCTGTGAGCCACAGACCTCTGGGCAAGGTGTGCAGGCTCCAGGGGCATCATCAGTTCTCCTGCTCGAACCTTGGCTGGGCAGGGGGCAGAAGGGATGGGAAGCAGGACAGGCAGGCCTTGCTGCAGGTCTGTGCCACGCGCATTTGATGTCTGCTGGGGGGATCCAGACAGGGAAAAGAGAGAGAGTGGATGAGACATCAATGCCTGAGGATGTGGAGAGGTGATGCTGGGCAGGCACACAGTGCCTGATTTCCCAGATCACTGCAGTGCCAGGCAGTCTCTGTGCAGTGAACTAGAGGTCGTGTTGAGGAGCTGTGGAGCATCACTGGTGCAAGAAGGGCACCTGTGACATTCCTGCACCACAGAGTGCCCATATCTGTGTGCCAGGGCCATGGCCTGGCTAACTGCCTCTCTCTCCCTCTGCCCAGGCTCCCCTCTCAGAGATAGCCCCCGGGGGGCACCTCAGAGACAAGATGAACCCCACCGTTGGCATCGCTGTTATCCTGACAGGTACAGCTGGCAGAGCACACCCCTCCCTGTTCCTTCGGCCCAGAGCAGCCAGGCCGGGGCCTTGAGGCTGCATGGGCACCCCCAGAGCTCGCTGTTCCCTGCCCAGCTCCCTCCTGCCTCTCTCCCAGTCCTCCAGGCCGCCCACTGTCAGATGATCAAGGACCTGAGTGCCTGCCTGCTGGGCCAGAACCTGCGCGTGGACTGTCACTACGAGAACAAAACCAGCAACCCCCTGACCTATGAGTTCAGCATCACCAAGAACAACAGGAAGCACGTCATCCAGAGCACCATGAACATCCCGGAGAACATCTACCGGAGCCGGGCCAACGTCACCATGTACAAGAACCTGGTGTGCCTCCACCTGCAGAGCTTCACCACCAGCGATGAGGGTGTCTACATGTGCGAGCTGAAGGCCACCAACGACTACACCGGCAACCAGATACGGAACATCACCGTCATCAAAGGTGAGCTGGGCAGTGGCACCTGCTGGTCGTTCAGCCTCTCCTTCCCACCCTCTCTTGGGCTTGGCAGGGCCAGCAGAGAAAACACAACACCCAAGCCCTCCCCGATCCCCATAAAGGTTTCCCAGCCCTTCCTACCGCATCCCCACAGATGGGCTCACTCTGCGCCATCTCACTTTGCCTCTTTTGGGTCCCACCCTGGGCACATCACCCAGGTGTCCTTTCACAGGGAGGCCAGTGGGGA